ATATTCTTAATGAGAAATTCGTCGTAGTGATAATGAGTTGAGTTACAATGTAAAAAAAAAAAAAAACCAAAAAAAAACAACACTTCTCATAAATATATGAATTAGTTATTTATTCCTTTAGTGTCAGAAAAAGAATTATTCTGAAAAAATTGAAATAATTGCGATTGTAAGTGGGACCCATGTCATGCGTTTGTGTGCGTATGTGTTATATGAAATAGACGATGCATCCCAAGGAGATTAACGCGAGACGCCGGCGCCTTCGTGTGAATATCTTGTGTCTCGACGTACGACGTCGACAAATGTACCTGCATTTTAGAGATTGGGATAACGTTCTCCCCTTCGGATCGTCGCACGGTGGCCACTGCGCGTCACTGATCTCCCATAAATGTATCATATGTACACATATTAAATATAAAATAGAGAGTGGCCGGCGTGCGCGCGCGCGCGTGAAGAAGGCGAACGCTCGAGAGTTTAAGGCCACCCTCGACCCCGAACGCATCTTCTCGCGTGGATCCGTACGCGATCTCGCCCTCAACGTCCACGAATTCATTCAAGAGAGCAGCTATACTTAAAAGCTAAACGATTTAAGAAAGTCTAACATTACGAAGAGAATATAATAACTTATCGACTCGACTGATTACTTAAACGAGAAATGGATGAATGAGAGTATGCGAGAAGGGGACACAAGGACATAAGGAGTGTAAAAGGAGTGCATGTGTGTAAAAAGGAATAATGTAACTATCACGATAGAGTTGATTTAAATTGTAATTATATATGATGTTCTCTCTCTTATGGTGACACGCGCGGGACATATACGCATACACACACATACACAACACGCACGACACAAAACATATACACAGAGACATACGCGAGATATGCTATAGATACTTGTTGTATATATATTATATATATATATTATATATGCGTTACTTACTAAGCTAAGCTCTTAAGTATAAACGCGCGAATCGTCGAGAAAGAAGAAATCCTTCATCTCACCCTGTGAACCGCTATCCTCAATCCTTCCTCGAGTTCCATTTTCTACTTTGTACTATAGCGCATTACGATCGGCGCACACACATCTTCTGTCACATCCTCTCTTCCCCTCTAACCCTCTTCTAAATGATAATGCTCCCCCTCTCTCTCCGCGCGATTTCTTCGCGAATACGACGAGCAATATTACTTTTAATAAGCGCGGGGAGAATTTAGATAAAGGAAAAAGCGTATATATACGTACAAACCGATGCATCTGATCGCGCGAGAGTGTCACACACGAGATCTTTATGTATGTGCGTTACATATACATTGTATGCTCGTTGGGTGTCGAACACTTATCATATAATAACGGTGGGTGAATCGCAGGAGATCGCAAACCGAACAAATGCAAAGATTCGAATCTCTCAG